AGTATCAGTAAGAGAGGGAAGGAGACAAAGGCAGATCTCATGAATTTGAGCTTTTATTGCACAAGCTGTCAGCTTTCTGGATGTGCAAGCAGAGCAGAGCTTCAAATAAACATTCTAAGAGATACATAAACTCATTTGAGACATCAAAGTGTCCCTTAGCCCAATGCTACTGAGCAGATGTGGAAATAGGAATTTGATAATGATTCAAGTCACTTTATTTAGGAGAGTTGCTGGGGAATATCTATGGGTTGCAGGACTATCATTCTTTTTAAACGGTTTACTAAGGAATCATTATAAAAGCAAGCATTCTATAGCACTTCCCACAAGCCAGGCACTGTTCTATGTACTTTGCATATGCCAGTTTATTTAATCCACAAAACAACCCTCTGGCCAGGTACTGCTGTTATCTCATACTGCAGATTAGGAAACTAAGGCATGGAAATATTACAACACTTGCCCCCCAAACACCCAGCTAGTACACGTGGAAGCAGGACTTCAAACCTGGTTCTAGATGCTCTGCTCTTAACCATTTAACTGCTAAAAATAAAATACTGTATGAACATAGAAAGACTGGAACTTAAATGCTCAGTGTCATTATCTCCAAGTGGTAGGATACAGCTTTTCTTTTGCTTTTCTGTATTTTCCAAATTTCTATCATGGATTGCTTTTAGAAAATAATAAATGCTGCTTTAAAATCCTGACCCTAAAACCTATAGCCTACAACTGGTTGTGAAGATCATTGTCTTGAAGGGCCCTGTAGTAAAAATAACATAAGCAGCCTAGATCACTTGATTTACTCATGACCAAACTTTATAGAGTAATACCAGGGGAAAGTGACTCAAATGTGTCCCTCTGTGGTCCTGTAAGCAGCCAATAAACTATCTACCCCTTGAAATGTCACTTGGGGCTGTGTAAGGTGAGGGAGTCTCAAAGGAAGAATGAATTTCCCGGCTGTAACAACCTCTAATAGAGGAGCTCAACATTGAACAGTGGAGCTTAGTACTTGAAGGACAAAGATAGACTTTCACACAAAATTTTCCATTAAAAATCATAGTAAAAAGTCAATTATAGGCCAGGCGCAGTGGCTCATGCCTGTAATCCTAACACTCTGGGAGGTCAAGATGGATGGATCGTTTGAGCTCAGGAGTTCGAGACCAGCCTGAGCAAGAGCGAGGCCCCGTCTCTACTAAAAATAGAAAGAAATTAATTGGCCGACTAAAAATTATATAGAAAAAATTAGCTGGGCATCGTGGTGCATGCCTGTAGTTCCAGCTACTAGGGAGGCTGAGGCAGGAGGATTGCTTGAACTCAGGAGTTTGAGGTTGCTGTGAGCTAGGCTGACACCACGGCACTCTAGCCTGTGCAACAGAGTGAGACTCTGTCTTAAAAAAAAAAAAAAAGGTCAATTATATTCATATATAGCAGTAATGAATTGGAATTTGAAATTAAAATCATACTATACAGAGCCTGTAGTCCCAGCTATTCTGAAGGAAGAGGCAGAAGGATCACTTGAGCCCGGAAGTTTGAGGCTGTAGTGTGCTATGATTGCAACTACAAATATCCATGGCACTGCAGCCTGGGCAACATAATGAGATCCCATCTAAATAAAAAAAAAAAGCTAAAATCCAATTTAATTCCCAAAATACACATAAAGTGACACACATAATGGATATAGGAAGCAAATGAATTTTTAAAATATGACCAAATCAACTTGGATGCAATCTTAAGAATAATCTCAAGGTTAACAGACACTTAACACAAATACAGTAAGTTTTAAAGAACCTGATTGCAGAGTATGGCAAACTAAAATTTAGAAAAATGACTATCAGTTTAGAACCCTTGCCTTCCCCAGGAAGAGAAATGAGAACTGACTTATAAAAATGCTGATAACTTCTTATATTGTTTACCTATCTTTTTCCTTATCCTTGTCTCTTTAATAGTCAGTTTTTCCCTCCATCTTTATAAAATACGAGGCTTGCTAATAGAAGCTGAGGTCTCATTTTCCTAGGTCTGTGATCTGCGTTAGGGTGAAGTATCAACGTGGGCAGTGTGCTAAGCCCCTCCGATCCTCCTTCCGGAATGAAGGACTTTTTCCTCCTGCCGCTGGGGGCGCTGTCAGCCGTCTTCAGAACTGTCTCTGCAAAGGAGAGCTGGGAGTCTAGGAGTCCAAAGCTGTGGTCCCTTCCCTGGGCAGGCTGCGTTCAGCAACTGGTTGATGTAGCTGTATAAAAGCGTGGCCTTCTCACCTGAACTGGGGACAACTCTGCAAGGTCATTTCAGGCCCAAAGATTCCCACGGGATCTCAGCTTGGCTGAGACTGCATCCCAGCTCAACTTCTTCCTCTGGCCACCCTGCTTCCCTCCCTTCCCTTCCATAGGTGTGGATCTCAATTTATGTGTGGCCAGGAGATGTGGCCTCTGGCTGGGCATTCACTTCCCAACACGGACTTAACGCTACAGAAGGGGGAGCACAAATCTTTGGTGGGCAGTTCGCCCCTCTGCCACACCGACTCTGCAGGGCATGGCCTTGAACCCCATGGAGTGAGTAACATGAGGAAGAAAAGCTATGCCATCTTTCTCATACAGATTCAGAAAGCAGATCAAAGAACAAAGAGGGCACTTTTGGAATACCAGCAGGGAACATGTCTGAATTTGGGTGGGGCTAGGGAGACCACAGGAGGCAGGATGGCAGCTGCTTAGCCCTCTGTTTGGTCTAATCCCCCGAGCTGTCCTGTCCCTGGTACCATGATCGCACCGTGTTAATTAAATCATTCTCATTAATTCAGCCCAAGTGTAAATTAGGAAGGAATGAAGATAAATTAGGTTTGAAGGCAGCTAATACATTTAACCCCATGCTGCTTATTTTGCAGCCTAACAAAATAACATTGTTAAGGGAGATAACAAGCCCAAAGCCTTGGGCACAGCTTCTTAATAGCATTAAAAAATGAGACCTTGGTTTGATGTCACAAGGCAAAGGGAAAGACCAGCTCCCAGGAGCCTGCAGGACTGGTCTAGTGTCTTGCATGAGGTGTTGGCTATTGTATTAATATGGATACAGTATGAGTAGCCTTTCCTGAGTTGTTCGTGACTCAGATATCTACTGTCTGCCGTTCAGTTTCATGACAGCCCTGTTTAGAGGTTTCTTCTGGTACAGATGTAAGACTTGCTCACCTTTTCTTAGTGTGAGTGGGGTGATAAAAATTACCCTTAGGATGGGCTGAGAGAATCACACAGTTTGCTATGATCATAAATACGCTGACTGGCAAATCATTTTCAGTTGAGATAAACATTAGAAACTGCCCAACAGCCAAAAACTTTCACACACTGGTTCAAACAAACCAGTGTATAGTTTGTAGGTTATCAGTAGCACATGCCTGTCCCAGAATGCATATTTACTTCCTGTCTTTCTGCAGGAAAATGTTTTCCAGTTTTTATAACCTACATCAGCTAATTTCTTTTCCCTTGTGCTGTTTACCTCCCTGAGGCAGATGAAGCAAATGTATATGGTCACTGAATACATTTCAAGATTTTCCATTCTACAACTTTTTTTTCTTTTGTTGAAGTATAGAAAGTGTCAACCTTAGGTAGAAAAGAGACAGGAAAATGGCACCAGTGGATGATGACACAATGGCCAGAAGATTTCATTCCTTTGTCAGCCCTGCCTGCTTAGCAAAGTTCTTTGCAAGAGACGTGAACTTTGCTATTCCCTTGCTTAAGGATGCTCTGCAGTTCCCAGGTGGTAAAGATGCAACAGAAACAGATTACCTGTCCCTAGCTCAGTGGCTTCCTATGGCAAATCCCCAGCCAACCAACTGAGCTATGTACACATTCCGTTTCTAAATAGGGTCATCCAGGTACAGTTCTAGGTAGATTCGGTTAAGTGACTAAGTAAGAAGGAAGTACTTCTTAATGAGAAACAATGTTAATCTCTTAATTTAAACAGAACATCCCCACCTACCCCACCATGAAAGACATTAACAAATGGTCTTCAAAATCAACAGGCTTGATTTTGACCCAAACGTTTCTGTGTGTTTGGTTTTTGCTGGTTTTATCCACGTCTCCTTCAGAACCCGGGTTCTGCTTGCCCTCTCCTAACCTGACCGCCCCGGGCTCTGTGGTTCAGTCTCTGACTTTGCCAAGTGGTCTTGCAGAGAGACTCTGCATAAAAAATTAAAATATGAAGCAGATTTTTAAAGGCTCGTGGTGAAGCTGCCGAGTTAATGCTAACAAAGGACTTCAGAGGGCACTGTCTTTCTTTGTCTGCAAGGAGCGAAATTTCTCGGCGCGAATACCAGGAGGGACCGTGGGTAAAGCAAAGTGAGATTAGAACGAAAAACCACCGACAGTCTTGGTTTCAGCAGTCTCGACTCTGGAAGCTTCGGTGGAGCCCCCTGAGCAAGTTTAAACCATTTCTGAGCCTAGCGTTTTAAAGAAAGCTGGGGGGCGAAGCGCGGGGCTGAGTTCACTCCGTCGTGGAGCCCTCGCTGTGGGGCTGCGGGGCTGGGACGCTGCTAAGTGACCTCCAGTCGGGCAATTCACATCTTCTCGGGTCTCAGTTCCTCTCCGTAAAACAGGGGCGCTGGACCGGTAATGCGTCCAGTGCATTCATAGACTTTATGCCAAACACTGAATAAAAAACAGGCATTTTAGCACCCAATGGAAAGACAAGCCTTTAAATGCAAAGATGAAAAATGAAATTCGTAAATAGTGATCGCCACGCCAGGTTGTTTTTCGAATCGCCCTCTTATCTCCTGGCATGCGGGGCTTTACACGTGTGTGTGCCGGGCAGGTCTTCACTGAACTCCAGACCGACACTACCGAGCGATAGAAAGCAGGGAGGCCGGGTGATACGGGCTTTATCGCTTCGGAGAGGAGCCGGCGTGGCCACTTCTTTGAGGAGTTCGCTTTGAATCAAGCGGCCGCGGCGATTGGCTGAGAAGCACGTGGTGCGCGCCCCGCCGGACAGCGCCCGGGCTGCTGTCCCCTGGCTTAGGGCAGAGTCCGGCCGCGGGAGCCGCGCCCGCCGGGGGTGGGGAGGGAGGACACTGGGGAAGTGCCTGAGGCTCGAGTCTGCTTGGCTCCCCGCCAGCGAGAAACCTCACGCCCGGGCTTGTTCAACCTGAGTGTGCCCAGAGTGTCCGGACTTGTGCCCCTTCCCTCGCCTCTGTTCCTCCCCACGCCAGGTGTCCTACCCAGCGCGCTACCTGTGCGCGCCCAGGGCGCGAGCTGCGGACACCCAGCTAGCTCCTCGCTACCCTTTGCAGAGCATCTCGCGGGCTGTGGCAGCCCCGGGCTGCGCTCCCCTGCGGTGGGTCCCTCAGTTCCAAGGCTACCCATTAACCAGGGTGGCCCAGAGGCGCAGACACTCGGACCCGGGAAAACTTAATTTAGTTGCAGTCCCCGAGGTTGCAGCTGCTAGTGGCTGAGAGAGCGCGTCCGCTTTGTCTCTGCACTCCCCGCAGCCCCCCTCCCCCGCTTCCTCTCCCGATTAACTCCCCCGACGCGCTCTTCCCCGGCTCCTCTCCTCCGCCCACTCCTCCTCCTCCCCTTCCTCCTCCTACACCGCGGGCCGCGCTAATGCGCTTCCTCCCTCCCCCGGTGTCAGTCTCTTTGCATACGCGCCCCCTCCCCTCCGGCGGCCGCTTATAGCGGGGCGCGCGGCGGCCGGGCGCAGACTGCTGCGGCAGCCAGAGAGGAGGCGTGCGGCGGTGGCGCTGCGGAGCCCGAGCCCAGACGCCAGGCGGCCGCGGCGCGCACGGCGCTTCCCAGCTCCCTCCCCCAGTGCACAGCCCGCCTCCTTCCGCGGCGCCGGCGCTCGCAGGCTCGCCCTCCGCTCCCGAGACGCGCTCCGGGACTCGCTCCTCGGGTCGCGGGCACAGGGTCCGCCGCGTGGGGACCGAGAGGCCGAGGCGAACCGCCAGCGCTCGGGGCGCGGTCCTCTCCCCGGCAGGCGCCCCTTGCGTGCTCTCTTCGCCCGAGCAGTCGCCGCCGCTCCCCCGGGCTCAGACGCCCGCTCGGTCGCCTCGCTGCCCGTGACCGAGGCAGGAACCCCGCCAGTTGTGCGCCGAGGCCGGTCGCCACCGCTGTAAGTTTCCCCCGCCGCCCCGACCTGTTGCGGGCGCTGCAGGTTTCCGGGGCTACTTTGGAAGCGAGGGTGTGTTGGTTAGGGGTGAGCATGCTCCGGGCAGCCGGGAGCTCCGACTTGGGCCGGGGCGAGCTGTTCTCGGTGCGGAGATTTCGGGGTCCGCCGCTGTCCTCCCACAGCAAGCGGGAGTCCCGCGTCGCCAGAGGGGCAGACCGGCTTCCCTCCGCGGCGCTGCGGCAGGGGGAGCCACGGGGGAGCGAGGAGCCGAGCTGGGGACACAGTCAGCCTTTCTCCCCCAGGAAAAGCAGCTCTTTCCTGGGGGCGAATGTCGCTTTGCGTCGCTCCCTGCAGCCTCCAGGGCAAAGCGTGCGGAATCGCGACCCACGTTGCAGCCTACCGGGTTGGGAGAAGAGTTGGGGCCGCGCACGGTCGCCTCACGAGCGGGCACCTTCACTGCGGCGGAAATGTCTGTAGGGAATGAATGAAAACTGGTTTCTGAAAAACTAGTTTTCTTTTCAATGCTAGTATTTGGCCTGTAGAGTAACACTATTAGTCTCAAAGGATGGGAATTGGTGGGCGGGGTGGAGATAAAGCATTGGAGTTGTTCGACATGCGATGTGGTGTTAGCCTCACAGGCATGGCCAGCGAGTTAAATAGCGTTGCAACTGTTATAAAGGACCCTGTGACAAAAAGCCATTTTTGTTAACAGGATATTTATAATGTTTCATTGTTATCAATAATGTAAATGGTCAAGAAAGTCTGTCTAGTTTGTCTTTTTTGGTTGGATAGAGATCAGGTTCAAAACCTGGAGAGTCTTGATGGTGCACAAAGTATTGGAGGCAGGAAGCCTGTTTAAGGAGCATTAAGTGAACTGAAGTTACTGTAACTAGAAGTCCTTTTGATGTTGACAGTAATAGCAGCCCTTTTCTCTGTCTTCTGTGCAGACACGGGTTAAGTATATGTGTACATTTTCTTGGCCACTAACTTGGCATGCAAATATTATTTCTCTGGGGGCTTAAAAAATGCCGGAAGGATGATTCATTTTATATTGAAGGTGTGTTTAAGTGACTGTATAAATGGTTTCTGCTGATATTTTGATGCTTGCGTAATTTTAAACCAGAAAGCAAGTCATTTCCCTTGAGTCTCCAAGTTTACTTTTTATTTTAATCAAACATTGCTGCAAGAGTGTTAGATGGTTTTCTGTCTGGATGGTACCCAAGTAGACAGGCTAGGCTCTTCCTTCTGGCTTTTTAGGCCAACCTAGAAAATACAGGAGCATAAACACTGGATGCAGAGAGATGCAGACCCTGTGTCCTGAGGTGTTCTAAACAAATTGTTTTCTTAAGTGTGCGTCTGGTTGTGATTGTTGTTTTACACCATGCAGAATCCAGTGTTCAGGGAAATGTGTTCTGGTCCCAGCATGATTCCAGCTCTGTGTGCAAGCACTTCCATGCTTGTGCGCCCAGTTGCAGGGAGCCTCATTCTTCAATCAGGGCAGCATTTGCTATTTGCCCTAGGGGAGGCAGCTTCATAGGAGTATTTAGACAATCTTTTGAGATTTAGGCTTAAAATCTTCCTCCAGATACTTCAGATTGCATGTTCTAATTCAAAGGACAACTACAGAGGTGGAGCATCAAGGATGCTAGTAAATGTTTTAAGACTTTGGAAACCTGGTGCATTTGAATAGGTTCCTGTGGGTCATTCTCTAGAGTACTGGGCATGGGTCAGAATGGACTAGACAGTAGAGGCTTAGATTGAGGTGGGGTGAGGCTTGGCTCCTCAGCATTTTTTATTTCCCAAGTCACTATGGAGACTTGTGGGTGCTTTGTAAAGTCTAGGACTTTTGTTACTTACTTTCTTCCACTAAGCCGTGTTTACTCATAATGAAAAGTTACATTCCAAAAATAAAGGAAAACAAGTTGCATCACCTAATGGTATGAGGCTGGTGTATAAAGGCATGTCATGCCCCTGCCTTTGTTGTCTTCTGTGCCAAGTCTCACAGTGGGTCTCACAGCTGGCCACAGAGGAGCAGTTTTTAGTATTTTTGCCCATGCATCTGTCGCAAATCATTCATTTGCAGGTATTGATAATTCCTGGAATGTAAGTTTTAAAATAAATATCGGAATGGTTGAAGGAAACACAGAGGGTTTCAGCTGTGCTGTAAGGACTGGCTGTTCTCTGTTTGGAACAGATACTGTGATCAGCCACATAGTTTATCTCTGGGCATAAACAGCGGGATAAACAGCTTCCTTAGGAACCCTTAGACAGGCAGCTTCTTCAGGGCTTTATTCCTTTGAAGTAACAGAGGAGTAGTGTAAAAAAAAAAGGGGGGGGAGGCATGTGATTAAATTTTTGAAAATAGATGATAGGCATTTCCTATATCTTTGCCCTACAGTTTTCTTGCTGAAGAAAACTGAGCATGAGATTCTATTATAATTTCAATTTGGATATCTAGGAAAGTGCTTCAGTCAGCAAACAAATTCAAGGTGTGGCCCCAAGGTAACAGTGGCTGGCAAAATACACACACATACATGTGTATTTTTTATTTAAATGAAGCAATGTTTGCAATTTGAATTCCCTACATGCAGGTGCCAGCGTTTGCAGGTACATAGGAATGATCCTGGTGATGCACTATTTAATCAAAAGAGAGGGGTGGATAGATCCTTTGTTCTTGCAACTGGTTTTCCAAGAATTGGTATAAAGCAGGACGAAGAGAAAAGCAGCAGTCATGAGTATGCTACTCAAAATATTCTTCCTTTCATGTGCCAATCCTCTCTTTGGAAGCTGTCCAGGGCAAGAAAGATGGTTGGTGATTGTGGCCAGAATCCATTCTGTGCTGATCAGTATATGGTGATGTTGACATTGGGATGCTTTCAGAACTCTTTAATGATAGGGGTATCTGGTTAGAAGTTACCTGAAACATTTCAATAAAGGTCTGATCATTGGGCCTTACGTTTCCCATTGACTTGTATATGCAGGGAGATTGGATCTTACCAAAGGAATTCTTAATGGAATTAATTAGTAGGTGTTTGTTTTACACATGGCTTTATGTTGCATGGGGCATGAAAGCCAGTGCCCATCCTGGCATTACGAGAGCAGGAGGCCTGGCATGTTAAGTGGCCTGCAGTGAATCAGCTGGACTAGAGCACAGGGAGCTGTGAGAATGAGACTTTTGCTGGCTTAGGTTCTCAAGGGCTTCAATGTCCTGAAAGTTGGTAATCAGGTTTTCCAAGATGAACCTGCTTTTAAGCAGTGATTTTTCTTTCCCTTTCTTTCTTTTTTTTTTTCTTAACAGTGTATAGTTCAAATAGCTCAACAGTATTACAATGAATGTCTTTCCTTCCAGGTAGTTGTCTCTGGCTTTGTACTAGAATGGCCACACGCCATTCAGAACAGTAGCTAGCAGGGCCAACAACAAAGTGCTCTGTTGTCTTTGTCCAAAGCTCTTGTTGCTTTTGATCTGCTGTTCTGAACATCAGGATCATCACCTTCAATAGTTTTTGTTTTGTTTTGTTTTTAGGAGTGGAAACAAAATGTCAGTCAGCGTGCATGAGAACCGCAAGTCCAGGGCCAGCAGCGGCTCCATCAACATCTATCTGTTTCACAAGTCCTCCTATGCCGACAGCGTCCTCACTCACTTGAACCTTTTACGGCAGCAGCGTCTCTTCACTGATGTCCTTCTCCATGCCGGAAATAGGACCTTCCCTTGCCACCGGGCAGTGCTGGCTGCCTGCAGCCGCTACTTTGAGGCCATGTTCAGTGGCGGCCTGAAAGAGAGCCAGGACAGCGAAGTCAACTTCGACAATTCCATCCACCCGGAAGTCTTGGAGCTGCTTCTCGACTATGCATACTCCTCACGGGTCATCATCAATGAAGAAAACGCAGAGTCGCTCCTGGAGGCCGGTGACATGCTGGAGTTCCAAGACATCCGGGATGCGTGCGCAGAGTTCCTGGAAAAGAACCTGCATCCCACCAACTGCCTGGGCATGCTGCTGCTGTCCGACGCGCACCAGTGCACCAAGCTGTATGAACTCTCCTGGAGAATGTGTCTCAGCAACTTTCAGACCATCAGGAAGAACGAAGATTTCCTCCAGCTGCCCCAGGACATGGTAGTGCAGCTCTTGTCCAGCGAAGAGCTGGAGACAGAGGATGAAAGGCTCGTGTACGAGTCTGCAATTAACTGGATCAGCTACGACCTGAAGAAGCGCTATTGCTACCTCCCAGAACTGTTGCAGACGGTGAGGCTGGCGCTCCTGCCAGCCATCTATCTCATGGAGAATGTGGCCATGGAGGAGCTCATCACCAAGCAGAGAAAGAGTAAGGAAATTGTGGAAGAAGCCATCAGGTGCAAACTGAAAATCCTGCAGAATGACGGTGTGGTGACCAGCCTCTGTGCCCGGCCTAGGAAAACCGGCCATGCCCTCTTCCTCCTGGGTGGACAGACTTTCATGTGTGACAAGCTGTATCTGGTAGACCAGAAGGCCAAAGAAATCATTCCCAAGGCCGACATTCCCAGTCCAAGAAAAGAGTTCAGTGCATGTGCAATTGGCTGCAAAGTGTACATTACTGGGGGGCGAGGGTCTGAAAATGGGGTCTCAAAAGATGTCTGGGTTTATGACACCCTGCATGAGGAGTGGTCCAAAGCTGCCCCCATGCTGGTAGCCAGGTTTGGCCATGGCTCTGCCGAACTGAAGCACTGCCTGTACGTGGTTGGGGGGCACACAGCTGCCACTGGCTGCCTCCCGGCCTCCCCCTCGGTTTCCCTAAAGCAGGTAGAACATTACGACCCCACAACCAACAAATGGACCATGGTGGCCCCGCTCCGAGAAGGCGTTAGCAACGCTGCAGTAGTGAGTGCCAAACTCAAGCTGTTTGCTTTCGGAGGTACCAGCGTCAGTCATGACAAGCTCCCCAAGGTTCAGTGTTATGATCAATGTGAAAACAGGTGGACAGTCCCAGCCACCTGTCCCCAGCCCTGGCGTTACACAGCAGCAGCTGTGCTGGGTAACCAGATTTTTATTATGGGGGGAGACACAGAGTTCTCCGCCTGCTCTGCTTATAAATTCAACAGTGAAACTTACCAGTGGACCAAAGTGGGAGACGTGACGGCAAAGCGCATGAGCTGCCACGCTGTGGCCTCCGGAAACAAACTCTACGTGGTTGGAGGATACTTTGGCATTCAGCGATGCAAGACTTTAGACTGCTACGATCCGACGTTAGACGTATGGAACAGCATAACCACAGTCCCGTACTCGCTGATCCCCACTGCATTCGTCAGCACCTGGAAACATCTGCCTTCTTAAATGCAGTTGGTCCTAAAGAAAGAGAGCATGAGGTAAGAAGTGAGTTTAGCTGTGGATGTAAGTATGTGTATAATTAGGCTAGTTGCAAAAGTTCGGTGTGTGGAGTGAGGCACAGTGAGTGGAGCATATGCTGTAGAAGTCATACAAAAGCTGTACATGTAAGAGACTGGGCACTCCAGAGCCTAAATGCTTGTGTTGACCACAGCTGCCGCTCCCCATCTCATAAGCTGATGGCTCTCAGCTTTTACTTCTTTAGAGTCTCAAAAGAGCTGTTCAAAACCTGACCATCCCAAAGACTTTGTTTCATTTGGTCCGAGTGGGGCCAGTATTTTTAGATAGTTTTCTGGTGATTCCAATAAACAACTAGGTTGAGCACTGCCCCCTACTCTGTTAATAATACTGGCTAATGTCTATTGAGCCCTCACTGTGTGCCTACAGCGGTGCTGTGTGTTTCATATGGGTCATCTTATTTGATCTTCACAACAGCCCCGTGGGATATTATTACTAGCTTCATTCTATAGATGAAGAAACCTGGCTGGGCACGGTGGCTCACATCTGTAATCCCAGCACTTTGAGGCCAAGGTGGGAGGAACATTTGAGGTGAGCAGTTTGAGATCAGCCTGCGCAATGTAGTGAGACCCTGTCTTTACAAAAAGTCTAAAAAATTAGCCAGGTGCAGTGGTGCACACTTGTAGTCCTAGCTACTCAGGAGCCTAAGGCAGGGCGGGCTTGAACCCAGGAGTTTGAGGCTGCAGTGAGTTACGATTATACCAATGCACTCTAGCCTGAGTGACAGAGCAAGACCCTATCTCTTAAAAAGAATGCTATGGAAAAAAACCTGATACAGACAGAAGCTAGATAAGTTGCCCAAGGTCAAAGAGCTTCATACATGGTAGAGTTGCTCAAGACGTCAGCCCAGGCAGGAAGCACTTAAGCATCACACTGAACTGCCACTTGATAAAATTGAGCTTCATATTGGTATCATTTCAGGTGATACTTTGTTGGTATTTAAATTTTTGCCTCCTTAAACCCTTTCTGGAATGAATAGAGCTTAAAGAATTTATTGTTCAAATTCATTCGTTGTTTATTCTCTCCAAAATTACTTATGAGCTTATTTAAAATGTCCACCACGCCAAAAAAAAAAATAGCTCCCTTTAGGGCATTTAGTAACTTTCAAGAGGAATTTAGGTCTGTCCTTGTAAAAGGGTGTAGCTGTACTGTATAAATTTGATGTACCAGATATATCAAGCCACCTAAACTGTCCTCACTGCAGCTTTTCAGAGTTAATCATCAGTCTAGCTGACCCTATTGTCAGGGCTAACGAAAGTTGTGTTTCTGCGTCTTATATCTGAGTGCATAATGGTTGTCTGTGTACTTAAGAGTATATAATACTCCTGGCTCGAATAATTAGTAGGTCTATGCGGTTCAGAGTTTGCAGTGCTCATGGCCACCTTGCTGCTCTTGAGCCTTCATAGCATCAGCCTCAGGAATGGCTTAAGCACAGAGCACACAGAACGTGTTGATTTGTTTTGGTGATTCATGGGCCTATTACTAATAATAAGAGAAGAAAATAACTGCTTTGGAGGAACTACAATGAAAAACTAACTCATTACTTGGAAACTTTTGGCTCTGTTTTCCCTAGTAAGTTTCACACCTTTGAAGGGGACTTCAGAGGGAAAAAAAGAAATTGAGGGGTAGTTCAAACTAAGCAAAGAGGGGTTTCATCTCATTTGTCTCTTCTTTTTCCATCTCTCACCCCTCATTTAAGAGCATCATTAAAATTGGCCTCACTTTCACATTTCATCTCTTTCTCTCACTTCTTCAGTTATCTCCTCCAGCCTGTTACGGTTAGCAGAGTTGTTAGTAATGTCACGCTTCCTTGGAATGAAACTCCTTCAAAGGAGCAGGAACCGTCAGATACCTCCTCTGGGAAGCGACTGGGCGAATAGCATCCCACACCAAACTGGTTTTTGCAGCCTTGCTGGCATCTCAGTAATCCTGAATAAACAAAAGCTCTGAAAGTGGTTATTTCATTTGCAGTATGAATGTATGACTCACCTCTAAAGCAGGTTTAAAGAACCTTCTAGGCAAAAGCATTAATTAACAGCACACTTAGTTGGGTGTTAGTCCAGAATTGACTATATTTGCACAGAAGAGCCATAGTAATTGCCAACTCCATGATGGTACATCAGAAATGGTAATGGGTAGACTTGCTGGCAGCCTTGGAGCAAGGTAAGCAAATTGAGGGAGAAGGAGGAGACCACATGTGTGTTCTGGTACTAGGGTAAGCTCTAGAGCTTTCTGGACGTTAGATTGCTTCTCTGTCAAATGAGTGGTTTGAGCCATAATTCTCTTAAGATCCATCACAGTGTATACTAGAGTAAATTGATAAATGGTGGGGTGGGGGAGATAGGTGAAAATAGCTTTCCCACTTCTTGGCCTATATTAAGTGTTCAATACTCTTAGTTTTCTTTCCTCCCTTTAATTTAGATCCTAACTTGCTCTGAGATAATAGCAGTGCCAGCTTTGTGTGTGGTAGCAAATGAAGTTTCTTTGACTGTTATCTGCTTGTCATCTTTATACTCCATTTTAGTTCCACCTTTTCCAGCCCAGAGTGAGTGGCAAACACTCGAATCCACCCTATCCTGGGTATTTGAACCGAAGCACACTCTTCCGGTCCCTGGGAAACCGAGCTAGTAAAGTGTTAGTTTATATGTGAAACAACATCCTCCTCACCCTTGGTGCTTACCAGCCAGAGAGTCAGGCACATAAAAAACTAAGTTTGACAAGGCCAGGTTTGCTGCTTTTAAAGGGCATCGTAAGCGTCAGCACATGATCAAAGCCACTCTTTCAGTTTCTGACAGGGAGACTGTTGGTTTAAATTTCTAAAGTTTACTGCACACAAGATAGTGCTAAAACATTTGAGCTGGATGGGGTGCCTTAAAGAGGGGCAGGCCTCAGTCTTCTGCTCTCCAAATGTAAGTGCTAACTGAATGAATGCAGTGTTAACAAAAAGTTTCCCTAGATCTGAGAGCTCATCCACCAAGGAAATTTTAACTGTCTCCTGCTGCTCTGTCAGTGGGTGGGAGGCACAAGGAGGAAATGACTTTGATTATCCTCTATTTTCATGGAGCTGTGTGGCTTTGAGGGCACTCAGACTTTGATTTGCTTTGTTTCTTCTGGTTTTCTTCTGTGGTATGTGTTTTTTTTTTTTTTTTTTCCTTTCCTCATTTGAGTATGCCATGTCTTGAAACTTTATATTATGACAAGATACATTCTTTTGGCCTAATGTTGATATGTAGGTAACAAGGGGGTGGGGTGGAGGATGAATCCTGTAGTCTAAGGAATGCCTTGAAACCTTGAATCACTGTTGTGAAACAGCCAAAAGAAACAACTAATGAAATGAATCAGACTTCTGAACACATAAAAGCAAAGGGAGAAGAATTCGTTGCAATAATGAGTGGTCCCTCCAGAATTCCCTTTGCCTAGACTTAAGCGTTAAATAGCAATAGGAATACAGAACTCTGCAAAATTTCCCCATATGAAATCAGCAATAACTAGATGGGAGAGGTGAACAGTGCAGTAAATACCGGTTCCTATGAAGTTTGCAGGTTTTGTGGCTATGGTGCTTTGAATTTACATTCACTGGCATACCGTAGCTGTTGTCTCCTAAGTGTGGACTAAATGAACTTTGAAAATAAACTCCAGCCTTGGGCTGTTGAGGCCTGATACCTTGTCATGGGAAGGGAAGCAAAACTGATTTCTGCCATAATGAATAGCAGAGATGCATTTCAATGAGAGGATTAATATGTCTGCCTTCTATATAGTGAATAGATTTAGTCTGGAATCTTCTATGGTACACGGGCCAAAGAGGGTTTGCACAGGAATCTCCTTCTTTTGACCCCTAGTACTTTACGGTGATTCCGTTTAACCACAGAAAGGAATCTTATAAGTGTTAGAAGCAAAAGATGGCGACTCATAGCACCTAGACTATAGTTTTGAATTTGGACATACATGCATTTAGGAAAGAAGTGAAGATCCCTTTTTGTACACCACAGTTTTGTAAGGCCAGCCATCATGCACATGTGTGTGCATTTAAGGCAAATACTTTAAATAATCTTTGCACAGTTCCTACTGAACATGTAATTAAGACCTTTATAAGTGATATTGCCCAGCTCTGTCCCAAATTTAATAAAAAAAAAATTTGTGGCTACTTAGAAAAATCTTACAACTATGGCATCACAGAAATCCTTCATGCTTCTTTGTTTTGTTTTTTTCTTTCCCTTCTATTTTAGGTCACTTCATCACTCGGCAAGACAATATGAGATTTCTACCTTGGAAAGGCCAAGTTTAATGAAGAGAAAGAAAAAAAGGAAAAGAAGTTGCTGCAAAACTCGCTGCACCTTGTAAATTCTCTAACTGGACATGAAGGAAGGGGGGTGAGGGAGGGGGGGTGGGATATTCAGTGCAAGTAGCACATAGTTTAAATATGAATGAGTGAACCTGTGATCTAGTCCTTGTCTTGTAATTGTGGATTAATGTCAGCGTGAATCAGCCTCTCAAAGGGAGAGAAGAGCTGGACCTTTTCCCTTGCTGTACCATATTGAGCATTTGATTTCCATGGGCTCCGCCATTTATGTATAACATTTGAAATGGTTGTCACCTCTCTCTGAGGAGCGAGCTTGAAGTCTCCATGCCAGCTGCTGCTGGAGATTCAAAGCCCAAGCGTGGGTCCAAGAGGGAAGCTGGCTGGGCTGGCTGCAGAATGAGGACCCCTGGACTCTCTGCTCATCTCTAAGGGGTGTGTTCCCCGGGAAGATTTCTGAACAGTGGGGACATTGTTGGTAGCCGTTTGGTAGATGTTCTTTTCTATTTATAAGTGACTTTAAACTTTTCCCTTGGCTGTTAACAAATTTGTTATAGATTTAGCTATTTATTGTTTGATGCCTGCATGCTGAAACAATGCTTACAGTTGTCTTCACATGTATGGACTTGTGTGTGAATGGTTGTATGTTTTGCACATTTTGTGGCTGGTGATGTGCTTTGCTGCACAAAAATTAAAACTTTTGAGCTATAATTTGGAGTATAACTGGAGGGTGGGTTGGGGCACAGGGTGGACTTTTTCAATGTCAAGACAGGGAAAGATTACAAGACAAACTTAAATTGCATCCTAGAGATAGAGAAACCATGTAGATCACTTATAATCTTAGACTCACCATCTTTTAATGCAGTTTCATGGGGTAAGGGCATGCTGATGGGGCGAGGGGAGGCTTCCTTCTGTCCTCCCACCTCCCATCTGATTCACCTAATTCAGTCTCAGCTGCTGAAATTTGGAAAGGACCAAATTGCTTTACAGTTTTTTTTTCCTTTGTGTAATATCCTGAAATCCTGGAGAATTCTATGGACTAGTTCTGTATATAGAGTACAGGTAAAGGCATTGTCCGAAGTTTATTTATTTATCTATTTATTACCCTATAAGAATGCTTTGCTGTAACCACAGCTAATGGGAAAAACTGAAACATCACAGATGTAAATTAACTCACTGATCAGATTTGCTTGACCTGGACTCATTGTTGTCTGTTCTTGCTAAACAATTTAGCAAGTGTTAGAAGTTCTCCAAGACAATATTCACATTGGTACAATGTATACTTCAGTGCTCACCCTTAGGTAAATCTCTTAAAAAATAAATAACTCTTTGGTGCACAAGTGACACATTTGGCCACAAAACACCAAAGAATCTTAAGCAGTGGCCCCTGTTGAGAGGTTTTCCGGTGGAATTCGGAATCAGTTGTGAATACATTCTTTGCTAGTTGGAGTGCTTGTTTACTAAGCATGTGCTGTGGTAGGTGTTAGTGCTAGTCTCAAATAGGTGCTTCCTCAGAGGTGTGGGGGGGAAGACCAGAGTTTGCAACTCGAACTGCTTTCGTGGATGTTTCTCACATTGCTGTATTTTAGAAAATAGGGTTAAGACTGATAACCTTTCACATCATGACTTTGTTTGCATTGTCTAATGACAGTTGAATCCTTAACATTTCTCTCCACCTTAGTACTTTAGACTAATTGTACTTGTCCGTCCGTGCCATGAATAAGTGCGCTATAGTTGGACCAAAATAAAATGAGCTGTTGGAAGAGAAGAATCACAATACTTTCCAGCAGTCAGTCCCTGGTTCCTAGATGTGTTCTAAGCAATGCAAATGTCTAATTGTACCCTGGCGGCATTAGTTGGTGTGGTTATATTGTAGCAGTTACAGCTCTATAGTTTATGATGCAAATCTGCCAAGAGATGGATGTGTCACTGCATGGCTTCTGAAAGCAGGATGAATTTTCTGCAGCTGTTTCAAAGTTGTGGTCTGTCCTTGAATCCTCTATTAATTACTTTGTGTGAGCCAGAGGGAGCCTCAGTAAGGGTGGGCCCCCAGCCTGCAGGGAACTTTCTGGACTCCTGCTCTTTGAATTGATGCAGGCATTTGGTCTCACTACTTGACCATTCTCACCCTGTGAAACGTCCCACACTTTGAAGCAAATACAATTCACAGCACAGTACACACAAAAACCTTGGCATAAGACAGAGAAGGTTCTTCTTATTTTGTGGACCGGTTGCTGTAGAAACAGACAACAAAGGGCAGCCTTCCACTTCTGGTATAATTGTGTAGCCCCTTTTCTCTGGGCTTGACACCTGTCTGAATAAGAGTGATTAGAGCTGCATAATATCCCTCTCTTGGCTATTGAATATGTGGTTCACGTACAAAATTGTATAAGTTGAAGTAAAGTGTTCATGTTCATATGTACTTGTTTGCTACTACTACATTTTTGAGGTTTTGTAAAACTGTTATTTTTTTTTTCACAATGTGAAACTGAAGGTCAATAAATTATTAGAGATTTTCTCTTCATTGTGTGTGAGGGTCTCGTCTTTATTTGACTACTACGTAATTTTAGGCAGCACTGTAAACGTGTGCCTTGTGTTTAATCAGAGGAGGATCATTTCAAATATTTTCTGAATGTGCTTTATTTCACCATTTCTACACATACATTTATTAAAGTAATTCTGCACATTAAATAAAACTTTTGACCTTTAGAGCATCTCTTTAAGCAAAGCAAAACACCTCCTCTGTGGCTTTATTCATAGCTTGGGATATAAAAAAATCACATAACATGATATTAAGGCAGTATATTCTAAATTAGAATGAATTTAGTTTTGAAATCTTTATATGGGTTATATTCTGATAGAAAGCTGTTAGAGACGGGGCTGGAGTTCAATCCTCTTTTCATCTGCTGACATCTGCTTTAGAAAATCTTTTAAAGTAAGAGGAAATAAATGCATATTATTTCTCTGTCATCACAGAAAAGCACAAGTTTAACCCCTCAGGTACGCTTGGCTTCTAAGTTGACAGCTTTCCTGGCTAGCCCTGTGTGAGGCCAAATGCAGCCTCCTGTCCCCACCTCAGGATGGCTTCATGTCACACGAGATGCTCCTTTTATCACTTGGGTCAGACCCCTCATTGTTTTAGTGTGCAGAGCAATGTTGGGTATAATCTTTTCTGGATAGAAAATAAATACTACCTAATTGGGACTCTAGGAGAGCTCACAAGTAGGCATAATGCAATTACAGCCTTTGGACTTTGACCAAGATGCCAGAGCAGATGCCTTGGGTTTGACAGAAGGATCATTTGGTTCTGTTTGGCGTGAGGCTGGTCTGGAGCCAAGCCTTGGGGCACAAGTGTCTGAGTGCTCAGATTCCAAGTGCAGGGTGCTGAGGACCCATGGAAACCCCGTGGATGACATCGTATGTATGACACCAAGTGATGAAAGAAGGGAAGCTTTTTTAGCAGTGAGGAGTTGACGGCTGGGGGATTTGGACTCTCAGAAAAAGTCTTGATGTTAATCCCTAGAAGGATTGAGAATGATTCCTGTAGACATGATTGTGAACAGAACTTTCATTCTCTGGAGTTTTTATCATCTCAGTTGGGACTAGCAGATAGATTTAAAAGACACTTCAAATTCTTAATTTTCATTCATTTGGAAATTTCATTTCATTCAGACTTTCAGATCACCCCAAACAGTGGCCGTGTCAGTTTAGATTACCTTTGGCTGCATGTAATAAAAATCCGGCTGTAGTAGGGAAACTTAGCAGGCTGGTAGTCCAGGGGTGGGACAGCCCCCCTGCAAGGCCGTCAGTGGTCTGGGGCTGTTCTGTCCCTGCTTTGCCATCGTACTCTTGGGCCTTGGTCCTCAGGCTCACAGGTGGCAGCTGTACTGTGTGGCATTGTATCTGCTTACCGGGCCACAAAGCTGGAGGCAGACACGGGAAAGGGCACATGCCAGAGCACACTCCCTTTTTTTTGGAATAGGAATAGTTTACCCAAAAGGCTCACCTGGGGGACTTGGACTTACCTCAGTGGCCAGAACTGGGTCATGTGAACTTTCCAAGCTTTAGGAGAGGCGGGGGCTGGGGTGGGGAAGGACGGCCGGGAAGCATTTTGATCCAGGCATATTGCCACCCTACTTAGTAATGCGATTTTGTTAGGAAGGGAAAACAGACACTGGATGGGCAGCTACATCGATTATTCATTGCAGGACATGGGTTTATCTAGTACGGGGAATAATCAAAGAGTGTGAACAATAGCCTCATTTACTGGGTGACTATGATGCGCTGAGGATTATGCTAAGGACCTGTGTTACAGTCATCTCATTTAACCTTCACGACAAATTTAGCAAAGTCTAGGGAGGCGTCTTAACATCTCTGAGACTTCGTTCCTTCATCTGTAAAATAAACAAGACTAATATTCTTTCTAGTAGAAAATTTTAATAAGGTAATAAATTTAAGAAGTGCCAAGCTCAGCGCCTGGCACATACTAAGTCCTCAGTAATTTTCAGTTGTCATTTTAAAACATTTCTCGCCTTGCTCATCCTCACAGCAGCCCTTTGGGAGTAGGCACTCTTATTCCCATTTCGTAGATGAAGAAACAGGTTTTGAGAGGTTATATAACTCGCCCAAGGGAGTGGCGAAGCTGGATTTCAAGGCACACTCTGGCTGCTCCTCCAGGTCCAGGAATGTGGAGGAAGGTGATTCATGGGGCTCCCGACTGTGGGAAGCCCAAGGCTGCCCGGGTCCACCGTGTTTGGGAGAGGGGCCGGGGAGGCCTGCAGCCAGTGAGCCCTGGCCCGGACACCAGCACAGAAAGGAAGGAGTCTATGTGGAGACTCAAAATGTTCCTTGCCAACTGGTTTCTGATGATAACATTGTAGAGAATTTAAAAATAAGTGGGGTTCCCTGGCTGGTTGTTATACTTAAATTCATTGAGCTGTACACTGATACTTTTTTGTACTTCTCTGTTTGTAAAATGTTGATTGACTGAGTGACTGAATATACAAACGGATCATGGCCAGACCATATATGAAAATAGAGCTCTGACCATAGTCTGCAGCATCCAGCCCAGGAAACCTACACGTTGCCTATAGTAATCAGCCCGGGAAGCCAGCCTGCTGTTGTAAGTCAGACTTGGAGGGAGTCAGATCACTACTCTAGGAACTGGTGCAGAAAGTCAAATACTAACCCCTGGAACAATTATTCCCAGATGGCCAGGACTTGATTAATAATAACTTTATTAACTGCTTCCTTAATTTTGTTTTTGTTTCTAACTCAGGACCTACTTAGGGTAGGATTGTACCCCTACCCCATCACCATAAGACACCATGCTTAGCCAACAGCCTCCAACCATCAAACCAGAAGCCTTCCCTTCTTTCCCCGCTATAAAGCCTTCCCTCTTCCCTGTCTTCCTTTCTGTCTCTGCTAAAATGCAAGACAGTGGCTGACTCCCTTTCTGACTTCCTCACTATAGGAAGTTCTGAATAAATAGCCTTTGCTTGTTCTTGTTTGGTTGGTCATTGTTTATTTCCATAGACAAATGTTTGTTCAATAAAATCATTAAATATTTCAATAAAAAGGTTCACAAAAATGAAGTGGGGATCAACATTGTGGGTTCTGGGCAAGCTGGGTTTTCAAAAGGTGATTGTTGTCATCCTGAATGTCTGAATAAATGAAATGTACACCATACATATAGCATGAGAAAAATGGATTTTGAGTTAATGGGGTTGAGATTAGGGCATCTGGTTTGCTAAAAGGAGAACAGTTGGTTTGTTTGGGGATATTTTGAATAAAGTGAGAACACTTAAGTTTTACAGCCATATTCAGGGTGCACATGAATGTATGAATAAATGCAAAAACTTAGCAGTTAATTCCTGGTCTTGCCTGTCACAAATCTTAAGTGCTTTGCCTGTCTGACACATACTCAGACTCAGCCATCTGTCCTGCATTTGAATGTAATCATCGACAATGAATTTTAAAGCTCTGTTATTTGTCAGACATTGGACAACTAGGTGCAAGACCTGACTTTCAGAGGAAAAAAGTGTACATTGAGGCATGAATGAATTAAAAGCAATTTGACTAAGTAAATTATAAATCTACCATAATCTTGTCCATCTCTGCTTACAGCCCAGCTTGCTTTGAAAGAGTCCTGGGGAAACCAAATGAGACAAAGTTTCTCTCTCTCTCTCTCTCTCTCTCTCTCTCTCTCTCTCTCTCTCTCTCTCTCTGGTCCTGTTTCCTTAGCAACCGTAATCTTTATCTCTGCAAAGATGGGACTGCAGGGAGGAGAAGCAGTTGGAATTTCAGCAAAGTCTCTTGCTAATCCTTTTCTTATGTTATCAGATGATTTGTTTTGTTACCAAAAGTTATTTTACACCCACTTTTTAGATAGTATTGGGAGTGTTTATTGGATATCCTAGAAAGGCTGAGAGGATTTTTTTTCCCACCAGATAATACTAATATTGTGACCACAAAACAGATGAAATCAGCTTCTTGGTAGACACCTGCAGAGTGAGAGCTGCAATGTCTCTCTCTGAGGTTCTAACTGATACATATGCAAGCTCTAAATTACAGATGCCCCTGCCCCACGCACCACCCACATACATCTGGCCAAGGCATTGCTGCCAGGAGAACCATTTTGAGAAAACAGATTTTGTAATTTCGAAATAATGTATATACTCCGAAGGAAAGGAAGGGGGAAAGGACAAACAGAAGACACCCTTGGAGAGATGTGCCTGCTGGGTGGTGGCCCTCATCTCGGCACTTTCTGGTACCCTCTGAGCATCCACCTATTCAAGAGATGAAGGGGGTCAACTAGCCCCCTTTTTCAAAATCAGAGTGCCTAAGCCACATTTTGAGGGCTGTTAGTCATTCACACATCTGCATGAACAAGGCCCATCTGCAGGGTGGGGCGGGGTTGGGAGGGCAGCTCAGACACTAAGGCAGAACTAGGGGGACACTAGAAATCGTAGGGGTGGAGAAGAATGGGAAAGGCAGTGTTCTGGCTAGAGGGGAGGGAGGGAATAACAGGCTGGGCACAGTGCAGTTCTAGGGCAGTATAAGGATTCTGTATGCTACTATGTCATTATACATTATTTTTCGAGATCCATAGAATGTTCGCCACCAAGAGTGAACCCTGGTGTAAGCTGTGAACTTTGGGCGATAATGAGGTGCTGGTAGGTTCCCAACAAATGTAGGTTGTAAGAAATGCACCTCTCTGGGGAGGGATGTTGACAGAGGGGGAGGCTGTCACCTGTGGGGGTAGGGGGGGTAGGGGTACCTTCCACCCAGTTTTGCCATGAATGTAAAACTGCTCTAAAAAAATAAGTCTATAATGCCCACTCCCCCCCCCAAAAAAAAAGCAGCCCACAGAAACATTGGAAACAAAAAATAGTGTTTTAGGGTCGTCAGATAAAAAATTGTTTAATCTAATAAAGCATGTAATATATATATATATATATATATTTAAATGTTTATACTGGAAAGAGAGAAAACTTTTCCTCCCAGTGATATTGTAAAGTATGT